GGTAATGACACTCAGGAAGTGATTAAGCTCAAAAGGTTTCTTAACACTGAATTTGAGATCAAAGATTTGGGGGATTTTAGATATTTCTTGAGAATTGAAGTTGCTAGATTTAAGGATGGTATCTTCATTTTTCGGTGCAAGTATGCTCTTGATCTCCTTGTAGAGACTGGTAAACATGGTGCTAAATTGGTTTCCACCCCTATAGACTTAAACCACAAGCTTTGTGCTACTAATGGTGAACTATTGTCTGATAGGGGATTATTCTAGAGACTACTCGAGAAGTTGTTATATCTCTGCATGATTCGGCCAGATATTTCCTATGTAGTGAGTGTCATTAGTCAGTTGAAAGGCACTTCAGCGAAATGTGTTCTGTTTGCCAAGCATGAACACATGAAGTTGGAGGCATACACTGATGCTAATTGGGCAAGATGTATTGATGATAGGAGATCCATCTCAGGATACTGTGCTTTGGTGGCGGGGAACGTTGTCTCATGGAGGAGTAATAAACAGTTTGTAGTAGCCAGATCTTCAGCTGAAGCAGAGTACAGGGCAATGGCACATGGAGTGTTTGAACCATTGTGGCTGAGATCACTTTTGGAAGAGTTGGGTATTGACTATGAAAAGCCAATGATGCTCTACTATGACAACCAGGCAGCAATCAACATTGCACATAATCCTGTTTAGCATGACAGAACTAAGCGCATAGAGGTTGATAGACATTTTATACGGGAGAGAGTTGCTTCAGGGGAAGTTTTCTTGCCATTTATTGCTTCAGAAGAGGTTGACACACTATAAGCAAGCTGGGCATGATTGACATCTATACTTAGCTTGAGGGGGAGTGTAGAGAGATTGGGCTGAATGGGCCCTAGTGTTTGTTTTTTGTTTAAGCAATGTTCTATTTATTTTATGTGTTAATGGGCCTTTTATTTATGGGCTTGTTAACTTTTTTTTTAATTTCTTTTAAGTTATTGCTTAGCTGGCCGCCCACTTAAGGGCAGACATGTAATTAGCCTAACTATTTCAGATTAATAAAAGATTAGTGAAGGGAGAGAGGAACCCATCGAATTCTCTTCTCCTTCTTCTTCTCAATCTTCTTCTCCATCTTCTTCTATTCTGCTGAAATCTTCTTTTTTCTCTCTTTCTTTTCTGCTATAATCAGTATTTTTCTATCAGATTTGAAGGACAGATTTACATTTGACAGAAAACAAAACACAATCGAAGGCGGTGACGGTTTTCTGCCCTCTACTATTGGTATGATGAAATCATTTGTGCATTATTCTGTAGGTAGATTGATTAGGTCTGTGGAGGGGGAGGATGCAATTTCCATAGAAGAGGTTAATGTGGTTACTAGCGTGGATTCTCCATGCAAGGTTTCTTTGGCTTCCTTTCATCTTTTAATTTCTTGTCCTTTTGCTAACTCTATGTGGGAGTGGTTTTTATCTTCTTTTGGCTGTGGCTTCCCCCTGATAGTCAGGAAGGCTTCTTTGGCTCTCATGTTTTCAGGTGCTCTAAAAGAGGCAGGATAATGGGGAGATGCACTAGAGCAGCAGTGGTCTGGACAATTTGGGAAGCAAGGAACCTAAGAATTTGTGAAGACAAGGAAAGGAGCAAGGAAATTGTGATCGAGGTTTTAACCTTAAGGGTGGCACATTGGGTGAAAACCTTAAAGCTGTTTGCTGACTTTGAGGTTGAAGATTTCTTTAGCTCGTGGGGAATAATTGCTGGTTCTTCCTCTAGAAGACAAATAGTACATGAGGCCTGGTCTCCTTCATGTTCTTTGTGGAAGAAATTGAACTTTGAAGGCAGTTGTATGGGCAATCCTGGCCCATCGGATATTGGGTAATAAGGGAAGAAGATGAAACATTCTAGCCATGTACTCAGGCCCTGTTCAGCATGGAAATGTGGTGATATCAGAACTGATGGCAATAGTGTATGGAGTAGAGAAAGCTAAAGAAATGGGGATTGATAGGCTGATTATTGAAGGTGATTCAAAAATAGTCATGGGTTGGCGGAGAAAGGGGAAATGAGTAGATAAGGAATGAGTTTAGGCGCTTCAAGCAGATATCTAAAGACATGACGATCCAAATAAAGTGGATTAAGAGATCTGCAAACAGTATGGCTGATGGTTTAGCTAAACAAGGAATTTAGAGACAATCCATGTTCTGGGCTGTTTTGTAAATAGTGGGAAAGTTCTTCTCGGGCTTCTTTTCTGTCCACAACTTCTTGTTGTATATGTTCTTTTTAATCTAATGAATCAAAATTTGTGTTGCTGATAAAAAGAAAACTATCAATTATCCTTTACATCCAATTCAAAATATTATTAAATTCAACACCTTGTACATAAAATTTATATGCTTTCAAACAATATGTGGGTCGGGGAGGGTTGGGTTTAGCTTAATACCATACCCTACCTGTATCTGTACAGGTTGTAGAATTGCAAAACCCCTCCAAATAAAAAACCCACCCTGTTGGGGCAGGTAGGGGCATACCCACTGGGTTAGGGTAGAAATTTCTATCCTGGAAACCACAAACATGGTGGCTGAGTGTTGAGCACTGCTTGATGGGCTGTTATTAGCCTCAGCATTTAGATGTACAGAGCTGATTGTGTTTTCAGATTCCCAGACTTCGGTTGACTGTATAAATGGTGTATCTTCTCCTCCATGGTTGACCTAGTATCTTATAGTGGCAACCCAATCTGTTTCACTTCATTTTTCAATTCAACATATATATAGAGAAGGGAATAGAGTGGCTGACTCTTTGGCAAATGTAGGAAACTGTGGACCCCACATTAAGTGTATTCGCGTGACACCCTGAGATGTACTTAGATTTAATTGATTAGGATCAGTTTTCCTAGTAGGATAAGTCTTATTCTATCTTATCTAGGATTAGTTTTATTTTAATCTTATCTTTTATTGCCATGTAAGCATTAAGGTTCTTTTACAATTAGGAAACYATGTATATAAATTAAGGAGTGGGGTGGCTGTTTTAAGCACTCCAACCACTCTTCTTTCAAAGCTTCTCCCACAAGTGCTCCTCTATCTCTCTTCTTCTCTCCTTTTTTTTTTTCCTTCTTCTCTTTTATTTTATGTTCAAAACCTAAAGAATCTCTGTAGTCTTGTACGACTACTGCAAATTTGGCTTGTGATCCCCAGCATGATTCCACGTTTACATCTCTTACAGACTGTGCCTATGTTATTCAGTCCTCTATCAAGGACGTCACATCCAGTCTTCCTTATTTGCACATTCGATAGTTTCATTTTATTTTGTTTCTTGTTTTGCATGGCTTTCAGATCTTTTTGTATATCTACGAGCCGAACACGTGCTTGAATAGCTTCTTTCGAGGGGTGAGGTTTTATGTCCCCCCCCCTCCTAGGCTTCTTTTCTTGGCATTAATAAAATGACGGTGGCTCCCCTCCACTGGGAGTAAATTTAGGGGTTTAAAAGAGTAGTGCCTTCCTGAGATTTGGTTTCTAATTGGGTATTGTTCAAGATGCCTTTCAGCCTTGATAGCTAAATGAATAGCCTCATTCAAATCCCAAACATCTTGGGCTGCAACTCTTTCTCGTATGAGTGGTTTGATGCCCTTAATAAATCAAGCAGCCTTCTATGATGGAGTTCCAGCCAACTCATTATGGATTAAAAGCTTGTAAAATTTAGATGCATAATCCTGAACTCCACAAGTACCTTGTACACAATACTGATATTGTTGGAACAAGTTTTGGTTATATTCATGTGTAAGGAATTGAGCCCAAAGTAGCTGCTTCATTCTCAGTCATGTCCTAATAGGTTGTTTTCCAACTTGAACTTTTTTCATCTGAACTTGATGCCACCAAGAGGCAACTCCTCCTTTAAGCTTATAAGAGACCTATTTCACCTTATTTTCTGCTGTCTACAAAATGAAAGAATTTCTTCACCACACATCCAATCAAGGAAATCCTCAATATGCCACTGTTCATTGATGGGTGGCATCTCAATCTTCATCAATCCTTGTCACCCTTATTTTTTTTCTAGGTGGATGTTTAGTATTAATTGGCATTTCCTATATCCTGATTTTCATCTTCCATATCATCAAAATCTTCATCTTCATACATTTATAAAAAAAAAAAAATCTTCATCTTTGTTACTACAATCAAGGCTGTTGCTAGGGCTTGGAAACATGGTTGTTCTTGGGGCTGCACCACCAGTTCTGGCTAAAAATGGTTCCCATTTTCAATTCCCCTTGTTGGTATAGTGGCACCCCTAGTATCTTCTTGCATTGGGGCTGTACTAGGCAACTGAAGATTGCTCCTAGTGATTGCTTCAGTCAACCTAATAGCAGCTTGTAAACCTACAAAGCGCACAACTTTTTGTTGCTGTAATCCTCTGAGATGGCTTATAGATTCTCTGATTCATCACTAGCAGCACTGTTGTGGGCCATGCTTAAGAGAAAACTCAAGCTTTGATGCCCCATAATGCAAGAAAAACAAGTAGATCTGTTCTAATTATTTTTACAACAAAAATCATCTAAATTGATTGAGAAATTTAAGCATGAAGTAACATAATATCCTTATTTTCTTCCTAGAGCAGCACAAATAATGTCCATATATAGTTGGTTCTTTTTAGGATGGTAACCAATACAATTCTGAAACACAAAAATACCCCTGCCCAAAATAATAAGAAAAACCTAAACATTACCCTATCTAAGAACTATAAGCCCCGTAAGACTCTTCCTAACAGAATCAACTAGAAATTATTAACTGATTGTGAAGCAACCTAAGAAATCATTAAAACAGAATTAAAGCTAGAAAATTAGCTAAATTCGGGCATGTAATTGCTTCATTTTCTTGTTCTTTTTAGATTGGTCATGCATTTCTTCATAACTAAGTGTGACAGCCTGTACATCAATTCTTACATTTTTTCTGCATGTTTTTGTTAGAAACCTTTCTCTGTTGTCAAATCAAACAAAGAGATTCAGTGGCAGAATTGCCAATTTATTCTTATTGCATTTGTCACATCTTTAGGTGCTCTTTGTATATTTGGAGAGATATTGAAGCAGGCTGGTTTAAATCCTGTCCTACGACCAAAGCCTCACCTATTTCTTTCTATGATGCGGGCTTTCGCTATTAAAGGAGACTATAGAATGGTCCAAAGTCTGCATACACGCATGTGGACAGATACTTCAGGAACAATCACTCCTGCAGTTCATGTAGAAGCTGACGAGCTTCTCATGGAAGCGGCAATAAATGATGGCCAGGTAATACTGTAGTATGTTTCAAAGTGTACTTGGTTTTACTGCAATTGGTCTTCCTTATTGCTGATTCAAGAAAGGGTCCATATCAACTTAGACCCACTTCCTCATGTTTTCCTGGCTATGTTAGGTCATCAGACTTACGAATCTGCCAATGTTTTGGACTTAAAATTACACAATCAGTTTGTTAGCTTTACAAGAACTTGTTGATATAGCATGATTGTCCAGCATTACGTTTCCTTGTTGGGCCTGTTTTATGTTTATTAATTGCTGTTTTACTACTGTTATTTGGCTCATTTATTTTAGTTTATAAATGTTTATTGATTGATGTTTTATGTTTATTAAAGAGAACTGAGGACTAATTAGTTCCCACAATTTGCAGTTCTCCATTATTTCTCTCTATTTTTCTCTTATCTATACATTTCTGTTCTTTCTTCTTTCATTGAATCATTATGACGGAACTTAATCTAGATTTATTGCTATAGTCAAGACAACTTGGTATTAGAGCACCCTCTGGTTCTACTAACTCTTCGGGCAATCCAACTACTGCATTTGCACATTCAGGTATATGTTCTACTGCTAATCGTCTTCCCTGAGGCCAAATCCTGAAACACACATGAAGACAGAAAGAAAGTAACTGAACAGTTTAAGGAGTGAGTAATACTACTAATGGAAAGCAAATTTATAGGTAATTTAGGAACATGCAACACATTAGAAAGGGTAAGTCCAAGTGGCAGAGATATGGTTCCTTGACTGGCTATGGTGGAGAAAGAACCATCAGCTAGTCTCACCTTATCTCTCCCAGAGAGAAGGTTATATGCCTGAAATAAATTTGACTTACTAGTCATGTGGTTTGAGGTTCCGGAGTCAATTACCCATGGGGAATCAGAAGTATGAGATGACACATGGAAAGTAGTGGTAGTGTTACCTGATGTACACATGAAAGAGGTAGGAGGAGGACCAGAATCCATATGACGAAGAGTCCTACCATACAACTCCAAATGGTAACGAAAGGAGTTGATAATCTCTTCCTTAGGGTCAGAACTGGGATGCCTTTCCTGAGTTACCATGGGACTAGTCTCTTGAGATGCCGTATTAGCTGAGTTATACTTTTTTTGATTCTGCTGAATTGGTTTCTTACCCTGATCAGTTGTTGACTTCTTACCCAAATCCTATGCCCATTTAGGTTTTCCATGGAGATCCCAACATGTATCTCTGGTGTGTCTTGTCTTCTGGCAGTGAGTGCACCAAAGTTTACTTTTGTCATCTATTCTCTTCTGAGAATCACCTTTCTTAAAAGAACCTCCGACATTAGTATCTGTACTTCCCCGGATAGCTAGGGCAACTGGCTCCCCCTCTATACAATTCATCACACTTCTTCTATTATCTTCTGATTGGACTAAGGCATAAACCTCTTGAACTGATGGCAAGTCTTTACTTCCCAAGATCTGCACCCTAATGGACTCATATGAAGGATTCAGCCCCAAGAGAAAAGCAAATACCCGTTGTTGAGAGACAAGTGACTTGTATGCCTTTGCATCTTCATCACACTTCCAATTCACATTCTGATAGTGTCAAGTTCTTTCCAGATCGATGCCAGATCTGAATAGTACACCGAGAGACTCCTCTTCCCTTGCTTGCAAGTAGAGGATTCAGCTTGTAGTTGGTATATCTTGGCATAGTGTCTCTACTCTGAATAGGTGGACTTTGCTTGTTTCCATATTTCACAAGCAGTTTCAGCCCACATAAATGTCTTTATTACCTGTGGCAGCATGGAAACCAAGAGCCATGACATCACCGTACTATTATCTTGATTCCACCTATCATATTCAGCACTTCCGTTCTTCGGTTCCTTCACTTTCCCATTGATGTATTTTATTTTCCCCTTAGCAGTGATGTAGAGTTTTATTCCCCTAGACCATTCAAGGTAGTTTAGACCGTCAAAGGGAATAACAGCCATGGGGAAACTCATAACTATTCCCCCACTCGCTCCATTTTGACTTCCTGAAACCCCTGAAGTAGCAGAGCTCTTAGACGACATGGTCAAAACAGAATTTTAGTCTAAACTCTCAACTTAGGATCCCTCCTTTTATCAGAAAAAAATTGCTCCACACACAAGTGACCAGTCCACACACACTTCGGTTTTGGACTTAATCTGAGCACAAGAACAACACCAGTTTCCGGAAAAAGAGGTACGATCAAACTGACTTTCAGGCCTATATGGGTTAACAGTCCCAGCCTACTAATTTTCCAAAAGGTCTACAAGCATTGATCATTAAGAGAGATCCTTGCACACATGAAATCAAGCCAAAAAGTAGAGAAAACAGGTCATTTGTGACCTACAGTCACCTTTTCACAGGTGCAGGATCACACAATCCAAAAACAAAAGAGGTATAAATCTCACATGGGTCTGATGACATCCAGTAGTTCAGATTCATTTGTTTCTTTCTCTTAGTACACGACCAAGGAAAGAAAAGAAAGAAAAAATAGGGCTGTACCAATCGTAGATCAGATTCGATCAACCCAGAATCAGTTCTCTGTTCCGCCCAGATTCAGCAAGTTGAAGAAGAAAGAAACTTGATCGATCTGCTCTCACAGTCAATAACCTTGCTTTGATACCGTCTTGGCAATAAAGCCGATTGAAAATAAGAGAGAAGAGAAGAGAAGAAGAGAAGAAGAGAAGAGAGATTGGTGACAATAGAACAGTGCTGGCGGCGCCTAACAAGACAATTAGTAGACCCTTATGCCCCTGCTGCAAGTGAAGTATAATAACAGAAAAATAAAAAAAAGGCTTTAACCAACCAAACGGACCCTAACAAGACAAAATTAATAGACAAGAAATGAAATAAACTATTTCAACAGTCTATAGTGGTAGTTTTTGATTATTTATTGTTTAGACAGGAAGTGGGGACCACAACACTCTTGTTGGGTCCTTTTTGAGTAGTTATTTTAATTGTTTTATGCTGTTTTATGTGTTAGCCGCCCTATAAGGGCATATTGTTCTTTGTACTCATTATTTTAGACTCTAAATAATAGTGAAGAGGGCTGCCAGCATTATTGCTCTGTTTTCTCTCTCAAATCTCTTCTCTTCCTTTTTTCCTTTCTTCTCTTCTTCTCAACACTTTTCTACTGATTTCTTTTTTTTTTTTTTTTTAAATTGTCTTGCTTCAAAAGTTATGTGCTTCACTTTGCGCCTCGAGTGCAAAGTTCCCTTGGTGCTTTCTTTGCGCTTTTAAAATACTGATATATTTGTGATGTTTCAGGTTTCATTGATAGACTATATATATTTAAGGTTTAAGATTTTAAATATTATTAAAAGCTTTTTGATATTTCATTAAAATCTGTTAGACAGTTGTATGCCCTTAGCTTCAATCGGAGATATGTACATTATGAATTTATTGTAAATGAATAAAGTATACATTTGATTCATGTTCCTGTGGTGTGTTTCTGTGTAATACCCTTAAACTGGACACTTAATGAGACTTGTGTTAGTTTAGAATGTTCACAGCCATTGGGTAAGTCTAGGGAG